ATCAGTCGTTTCTGCTAACATGCCTCTGGGTGGACTGGAACAGCCTACCTTCCCGTTAGAAGCAGAGCACTTAACTATTTGAGCCACCCAGGGATTTGGTGCTAATTATGGAATCGCTGTAATCCTTAGTCTTCTTTGTCTGTAAAATGAGGATAATAATTACTTCCTCCTGGGGTTGTTGCAAGAAGTAAATAAGAAAATGGGGGAACACTTAGCACAGAGTTGATGTTCAATTAATAAGAGAGGTTATAATGTTTACATTCTTATTGGCTTCCTTATATTTGTTATCCGGTGCAAACTGCCTGTTCTCTAGCAGACTGTATCCCAACTGCACATGAATTTCAAATTCTGGGATCCATTGTGCATGGATTTGTACACAATAACAGGGGAATTGCACAGAAATAACAGGAAAACAAAACTAATTTGAGAACCAGCATCCCAAAAAATACTCAGAGGATATTACAAGTGCAGCATCCTTCCGGGAGCTCTTATTTTCTCCACCTTCAGTTTTTTAAAGGACTCATTTCTCTCCTGATGCCAGTATCAGCTGCTTCCCTGAGACAGACAGTGAATTAATATTTCTGCCAAATGAAAGTGACTGGCCCCATATCAGTGACCGCTGCGTCTCCTTTTCATTCCCCTTATCTCTTTCACCCACACTGGCCCCAGTCCATAATTTACAGCCTCCCAGGCTCGACAGGAAGAGTCTCTTTGGGCATCAGATATTTGGCTTTGTGTGTGGGCTTCCCAGATCTCCAACAATCTCTCTCAGCTGCCATGTGCTGACCCCCTCTGCTGTGGGTGGGCTCCTTTTCAACTCTGCCTTTCTCTCCCCTGAAGCTTCGTCGATCACTTCCAATAGAACACTAGTGGCAAGAATCTCCTCTCCTGGTTTGGCAGCCTTGGTCTTATGTCTTCTGGGATCATCCTATAGAATATATTTACTGCTACAGCTCTGGGTCCAAACAGAATCTGATCAGGGATGCACAGTTCGGTTTTCATTTAATTCAAATAGAAAAGCAACAACAACAACAGCCCAGTCATTGTTTCATGTTGAGTTTTCAGACCTTGAGAGTCCTTGGGTACTGCAAAAACAGGTTTGCATTCAGCTGCTAACTGAAAGGTTGCCTGTTCAGACCTAGCCAGTGGCCTCCAGAAGAAAGGCTTGAATGTCTACAGCCATGAAGATTGAAGCTAAGAAGACCTCATGGAGCTCAGCTATACTCTGACACACATGGGGTCCCCATGAGTAAGAATTAACTCTATAGCAAATGTTTTTTTCTTTGGTTTCAGACCTTAGAAGATGGTTTGTTGTTGTTGTTGTTGTTGTTAAGTGCCAGTGAAGTCAGTTTTGACCCATAGAAACCCTATTTCTGAGGAGCATCTGGTGAGCTAAACAGCCAACCTTGAGGCTGAAACCGACTTTGCAGGCCAGCCCATTAACCCACAGCACCATATCAGGACACACAAGCCAATACCATTTCCATGAACAACTCTTCAGTCCCAGCACCTCACCCGCTTTTGAAACAAAGCCAATCACATGCTCAGAGGAAACCTAAGAGGAAAAAATATTGAGGTTTGTTTTTTTTGTTTCTAGCTGATCATTTCTTTCATAATGAATTCCTGTTTTCATAAATCTGAATCATCTATCAAAGAAGATTTACCATTCAGAAGTCAACAAGGAATTGACTGGTATCGCATACAGCTAACTAAGCAGAAGAAAGTCAGGGTTCAGTTTCTTGGGGATGGGGTAGGGAAGGCAGGGAATAGGAACGGAACTGGAAGGGCCATGGAGGATGACCTCAACAGATGTTAAAGAAAAACTGACTCCCATAGGCTCTGCTTACTTCTCCAATCCCCCCATTCCAGTCCTCACTTCCATCTTGGTTTGGCTACTTGAGGAGTTTCTTTCTGATAAATGGGTGTGGATTCCTTTGGGGTCAGAAGCACTGAGCATGAGACAGTAGGTAAAGACTGGCGCAATGGTTTCTTAACCATGGTCCACCTGGTAATTCTGGCCTTGCTGGTCTTGCCTCATTTATGGAATCAGAATCTCTGGGAAATGTCACAGCTAATTCTTGCATACACTAAAATGTGAGCGTGACTGGAGAGAAGATACTGAGAAGTACTAATCTGCATAAGGATCTCTAGTAGCCTTTTTTTGGGCAAACTACAAGTAGCCAAGAGGACAGTAGGCAGAATAATGGACCCAAAAGATGCCCATGCCCTGTGAATATGTTATATCATGTGACAAAGGAGAATGCATGTGGCATTATGTTTACGAATCAGATGGCCTTCAGATGGGGAGATGATCCTGGATGATCCAGTTGGTCTCAGTGTAATCACTCACCCACTGCCACCAAGCTGATTCTGATTCATAGTGACCCTATAGGACAACTGCACCTTAGGGTTTCTGAGACCAGAAATCTTTACAGGAGCAGATAGCCTCATCTTTTTTCCAATGAGTGACTGGTGGTTTTGAACCACCAATATTTCTGTTAGTAGTCCAATGATAGCCCACTGCACCACCACAGAGGCCCTTAAAAGTAGAAGAGGGGGAAAGAAGACAGACATCAGAGAATGAGATGTAATAACAAGAGTCAATCAGAGCAGAGCGGTGTGAGGACTCATCTGATCATTGCTGTTTCTGAAGAGGAAAGAAGGCCATTCACCAAGGAGTGTGAATGACCTCTAGAAGTCAGAAAGGCAAGAAAAGAGATTCTTCCCTGGATCAACCAGAAGGAACACAGTTCCCAACCTTGATTGTTGCCCATTGAAACTCACATCAAATTATGACCTACAGAATAAAATAATAATAATAATAAACCCCACTGCCATTGGGTTGATTTGGACTCGTGGTGGTGGTGTGCCGTGGAGTCAGTGCTGACTCATAACAACCCTTTATAGGGTTTCTGAGGCTGTAATTCTTTATGGCCGCAGTAAGCCTCATCTTTCTTCTGCTGAATGGCTGGTAGTTTTGAACTGCTGAACTTGAGGCTAGCAGCCAGACTCATAACCAGTACACTGCTGGAGCTCCTTGATTCCAACTCATAGTGACTCGAACTAGGGTTTCCCAGGCTATAAAGCTTTATGGGAGCAGACAGCCTCATCTTTTTCCTTAGGAGCAGCTAGTGGGTTTGACCCACCAACCTTGTGGTTCACAGCCCAAGCCTTAGCCACAGCACATCAAGGCTCCTTTAAGACCTACAGAACAGTGGAATAATACATTTGTTTTAAGCCACTAAGAGTGGAGTAATTTCTTGCAGTACCAATTGAAAACTAATACAAAGGGGTTTATGATAAATGTCTGTACTCAATGTCATTGATACATGTGACATCAAAAAACATGGCCTGTACAGTGTGGTTTCTGAATGTCATTAAGCTTAAAACACTTCTGAGAACACAAGAAAACTTTCCAACTCTTAAAATGAGGTCATAATAATAACTAATCTCAACTCTGCTTAAGAGAGTTGAGATTAGTTATTATTATGACCATATATTATTATTATGAATAGTTTCCGGTTGGCTTCTGAAGGGGTACTCTCCACCCTTCCCACCCTGTAGGTCCCTGGTAAGCAGACCTTTACAGCCAAGACCAACTGACTGTCTCCGCTGTCTTCCACTTGTGTTCCACAAATGGAAGAACTAGCAAGAGCCTGAGTGCATGAATCTTAGGTAACTCCTGAAGGAGAGTGTCTCCTGAAATTTTGTGCTGTGGGCACATCTCTTACCTCCCCTGCTCAGCTGGAAGTTGTCCTTTCCGGGGTTCAGAAAAGATTTCCCTCTTCAAGCGGGAGCCTGAAGACTACAATGAGCCCAACCCCAAAGTATCTGGGATTCCTTGCCATTTCTCACCTGCCTTCCCCAACAGCAAGGAAATAAAAAGTTAAGGAAAAGTACGATCCAACAATACCATAGAAACAAGTTAATGTGAATACCACCTGGAGTCCTGGTGTGGCACTGTGGGTTAATGTGCTGGATTACAAGGTCAGTTTGAACCACAAACCGGTGGTTCAAGCTCATCATTCGCAGAGACCCTATACAGGCTTGCCATGAGTTGGAACTGACTTGATGGCACATAACAACCACAACCCTGGGTGAAGCCAGTGTGGCAGTACAGGATACGCACTGGACTGACGGCAAGGCCGATAAGTCAAACTAACCAGCCACTCCTTGGGACCCCTATACAGGATGACTATGAGTCAGAATGGACTTGATAGCACTTAACAACAACATTTATGCAACAAAACTACATGCCAGTTACATGCACATATAGATACTATCCTCCACAGAGATAGCTTTTTCTTGGTTTTCTCTGGCCTCTAAAACAAATCTAATTTGAAAATAAAATGGAAGACTATACTGTGGTGAGATGAAATTTGTTTATGCATCTTAGCTCCTCTACCAATACCCCAGTGGCACCCAGGAGCTTAAAGTGATTGATTCATTCAGAAATGGGATTGGTGATGAACCTGGGAAGATGAGGGAGTCCTCCTCTGGAAGCCATCCTAGATCACGAATCTGCCCTCACCCTCCTCCCCAGAGACTCACAGTGTCTGAGTCAGGCACTGTCTTCTTTAATATGCTCAACAAATGGATGATGGAGACGAAAATGACTGAATGCAAGAATGCAAAAGGCAAACACGGCTAACTCCATTGAGATTTGTTAACTGCAAGAATCGCCCCACTCCGTACGCTTCATCCCCTCCCCACCCCCATCCCTGTCCCTGATATTTTTTTAGAACAACAATGGAAAGACAGGAGGAAAACTGGCAGGAAGATGGTGGCAACGTGAAAATTCCAAATAAGGCTGCAGGGAATTTGAACGTTGGCCCCTGCTGCCCCTTATAAACACTAGCTTCCTGCACCTCAATAGGAACATCAGGCACTTATTTTTAGAAAATCCGATCTACACCATTTATTTAAAGCCTTGCAAACTTGTGGGCACAGTCTGTCTGCTTTAGCGTCACTGTACTATCACAATGGTGTGGTGGGCCTACCTGAGCCGGAAAGAACCAGAAGAAAAGGTTGCTGTTGTAAGTCTTATTCACGGTGATGTAGCCTGAGTAACTCTTCAGATTGTTTCCTGGGAAAGGACTGACCAAACTCAATTCTTTCCCTAGTGAAAGAAAAAAATTTACCCAAGGATTAGAGGAATAATACCACATTAGACATCTCAGACTCCACTAGATCCTCCCAGGGGCCAGATATGGGATAGAATCACCAGAAAGACGACAAGTGCATTGGCACAAATATACTTTCTGCAGCAAAGTCCAGCCTACCTGGCTGATTCCAGGGTTGACATTCACAATTCAGCCAAGGACAACTGGATTTTTTTAGCTCTTGGTTTTTTGTTTGTTTGGTTTGGTTTGGAGTGTGTGTGTGTGTGGGGGGGGGGGGGTCTTCAAATATGAGAGTAACATTTAAAAACGTTGCTACAAAATCATAGAAATCTTTATTAAACAAAATTATAAAGCGTGAAGACCTCATTTCTCAAGATTCTCCATCTAGTTCTATACACTTCTTCTGAAGGTGGTATTTCCATCACACAAAATCTTCCCTGAAATTCTGTGCTTTTCTATTTGTTGTTGTTGTTGTTGTTAAGTGCTGTAGAGTCAGTTCTGACTGATAGTGACCCTGTATAGAGTTTCCAAGGAGGGGCTGGTGAGTTTGAACCACCAACCTTATGGCTAGCAGTCCGATGCTTATTCAACATCTCCGCACCAGGACTCCCTACTTGATTTGTTTTTAAGTGCAGTCAAGTCAGTTCTGACTCTTAGTGACCCTGTATAAGGTTTCTGAGGAGCGGCTGGTGAGTTCAAACCACCAACCTTGTGGTTAGCAGTCCAGTGCTGATCCTTTTTGATTCACACCATGCCAAAATGGCAGTTTTGGTATCCTCACGGGACTCAAATCATGTTTTAAAAAAAAACCAAATTGTTTTTTAATTCACTTGAAATGTTCTTTACCTTTTGGGAACACATAGAAGTCCGCAGGGGCAAGATCGGGGCTAAGGGATGGATGGGGTGAGGTTTGCCAATGAGATTCTCATAGTATGAGCAGGGTCATTGTCTTCATGGATAAATAATTCCTAAGGAACTCTGGTAACATAGTGGCTGCGAGTAGGGCTGCTGATCTCGAGGTCAGTAGCTCGAATCTACCAGCTGTTCTGTGGGAGAAAGATGAGGCTTTCTGTTCCCACAAAGATTTACAGCCTCAGAATTCCCTATACAGGATCGCTAAGAGTTGGAACCAACTCCACGACACATAACTAATCAACAAAGCACAATTTACCTGGCCTTTTTTTCTCACCGATACAAATTTCAATTTTCTTAGAATTTCTTCCTAATAAGTCCCTGTGATTGCCCTTTGTCCCGTTAAGAAAACCTACCGGGATTGTTGTCGTAGTTAAATGCCTTCGAGTCGACCCATAGCGACCCTACATAAGGTTTCCTAGGAGCAGCTGGTGAGTTTGAACTGCTAACTTTGCTGTTCAAACTGACTTTGCAGTCCAGAGCATTAACCCACAGCACCACACCAGGATTGTCCTGTCAGTAATCCCCACAAACAGTTACTATAACCGTCTGAGCTGATCTCTCTGCCGTGAATTTAACTGACCCAGCAAATCCCCTCAGAAAACACTATTTTGATTGGACCTTCTCTTTTGGAAAGCACCGTAATGAGACTAAGACAAGTGCACTACTGAAAGAATTTGTCTGCAGCCCTCCACTGATTGTAGAGTGACAGGCAGTGAGATCAGGAGGATGACCCCTCGTGATTCCTTACATCCACTGCTGTGGAGTGGATCAAACAGAATGGAGGAGCTGTAAGGGGCAGGATCCTGTCTTTCCTATGGCAGCAAGAGTGTGTGTGTGTTGGGGGGTGGGGGAGGTGCAGGGGAGAGAATGGGAACAGGAAGGGGGATGGGCAAAGCTCAGACAAAGGAGTATATAATATTAATAACTTGTGGTGCTGTGGGATAAAGCACTGGACTGAAAGGTTTAAACCACAAGGTTGGTGGTTCAAACTCACCAGCAGCTCCTTAGAAACTTAATACAAGGTCACTATGAGCCAGAACTGACTCGACAGCACTTAACAACAACAATACTCATAACTAGCTCTCAAAAAACCACTGTACCAAGTGCTTCACATTTTGCAGTAGGTATAATGATCAGCCCCACTTTACAGAGTCCAAAACTGAAGCACAGAGAGGCTCAGCAATTTATCCAAGGTCACACAGCTAGTAAAGGAGATCTAAGGTTTAACAGTCAGTCTGCAGAATGTGTTCCTTGCCTGTCCTGCTATACTGCTTCTCAAAAAGTGCATTAGAAGATGTGGATGACAGGAAGTGGGAAGGGAAGCAGTGGTTATGGAGAATGTGGAAAGGGAACCGAAACAAGCAATAGGGTGTGGGAGAAAGCACAAGAGGAAGTCTGGGTGAGGAAGAGCCCTGCAGTGGTGAAAAACACAAGCATCCCCAACAAAAGCTAATCATCCAAGGGAAGCTATCTAAGTCTGAGATATAATAAGTTGCAGACCAGTTAATACACAGGAGTAGGTATGGAAATGTCATTTGAAAAGCATTACTCTATGCAGAGCATCAATTCAAGGAGCCCTGGTGGTGTAGTGGGTTATTCCTTCGATTGCTAACCCCAAGATCAGCAGTTCAAATCCACAAGCTGCTCCTTTGGAGAAAGATGCGGTTTTCTGCTCCCATAAAGATGTATAGTCTGAGAAACTCCATGCAGGGTCGCTATGAGTGGGAACCGACTCGCTGGCACACGGCAGCAGCTAAAGCCTCTGGAGTGCTGATTGGTGGCATCTTTTCCCAACTCTTGTCTAGTGTGACTTCACTGATAATTTGAAAACAGTCATGTCGTTGCTAAGTACCATCGAATCAATTCTGGCTCATAGCAACCCTGCATAGGGTTTCAAAATAGCAGCTGGTGGGTCTGAACTACCGATCCTGTGGTTCACATTCCAGAGCTTATCCTACAGTGACAAGCCATAGCAGGAAAATTTATATCTCAGAAGTGTAAAAGCTACAAATCCGAGCTCCTTCCCTGCCAGCATACCAGGATGTAAAACTTTTATCAATACACAACTACCTTTGCGGCTACAAGTTCCTCTTTTAAAGAGAAAATGCTTTCTGAAAGGGGAAAAACTTCATCTAAACCACATAGTTTTTTTCTCTTGACCATCTATGAGATACAGGGCAAATGTTTTAGCTCCTTTGTGCTCCAGTTTCCTCATTGTGAAAATGGACTATACCCGGGGCTACTGTTGTTGTTGTTGTTAAGTGCCGTTGAGTCGGTTCCGACCCATAGCGTCCCTGTACAGGGTTTCTGAGGGTGTAAATCTTTACGGGAGTAGAAAGCCTCATCTTTCTCCCGCGGAGCGGCTGGTAGTTTCGAACCGCTGACCTTAAGGTTCGCAGCCCGATTCGTAACCACTACGCTACCAGAGCTACTAGCAAGAATAAAAGAGTCTACATATGGAAAACCCTAGGTACATAGGGAGCAGTTATTGTTCTTGTCTGTTAAATACATGAGCTGATTAGGAGCAGAGGTGGTGGTTATGCGCCATGGAATCAGTTCTGGGTCCAACTCATATGTGAGTCCATATAGGGTTTCCGAAATTATAAATCTTTATGGGATCAGAAAGTCTCATCTTTCTACCAAGGAGCAACTTATAGATTCAAACTACAGACCTTTCAGTTAGCAGCCTAGCTCGTAATCCACTATGCTACCAGGGCTCGGCTTTGACCTGCAAAGAAGATGATGGTGAACAAGGGATGGTTTCATTGGGTGGTTTCCTGAGGGTCCTGGTAAACTAGTGCAAGCCAAAGAGCATGGGTTCCAGAATCCGAGAGACCTGGGTCTATAATCCGGATTAGAGCCCCCAATAAATCCGTCGTCTCTGGGAACCTCTTCCCTCTGGTGCAAAATGTGAATACAAACTCCCTGCCACCCGCTTCCCAATCCTAGGGCTTTCTGCAAGGATCAAATGAGAAGATGCACACAAGCCTGTAGCACCGCTGGAAACAAAGCAGTGGGTCAGTAAATGGAGTCCTTTGGTGGTGCCAACAGTTAACATGCCTGGCGACTAATCAAAAGTTTGGAGGCTCAGGTCTACTCAGAAGCACTCTGGAAGAAAGGCTAGGCTGTCTGCATCCAAAAATCTAGCTCTGGAAAACCCACGTCTACTCTGATACACACGGGACCACCATGAGTGGGAACTGGCTTGAGGACAACTGTTTTTTTCCAATGTGAGCCAGGATTATCACGAGCCCAAGTCAAATTTAAAAGACTTCGCCTTTCTCTGGTCAATCATTTACCCCAGGGAAGGCTGATGGATGCACTCTTTCTAACTCTCCTTTTTCGCTTCCCAAAGAGTCCTATACCTCTCAGAGATGGGGAGGCAGGAAAAGTGTGTGTGTGTGTGTGTGGGGGGGGGGTAGGAGGTGAGGGGGCAGTTAAGGGAAAGGAAAGGGAGGTAGGTGGTAGAGGAAGTGCTATGTATCAGAACCCCTGGTCCCACTCCCTCCTACCCTCTCCAGTCATTTCTTCCTTTTTCTCCTACTTTGCTTCTACTTTCTGTTATGAGTTGGTTCCTACTCATAGCCACCTCTGTAGGGTTTCTAAGAAGGTGGGTTTGTACTGCCTACCCTGTGGTCCGCTGTCCACAGATGGTCCTGCAGCATCACACCAGGGGTCTCAGTTGTTGTTGTTGTTAAGTGCTGTCGAGTCAGTTCTAACCCATAGCAACCCTGTATAGGGTTTCTGAGGAGCAGTTGGTGAGCTTGAACTACCAACCTTGTAGCTCAAACCGACTTTGCAGGCTAGTGCCTTAACCCACAGCACCACAAAAGGACTTCAAATCACCCTCCAGGGTTAGGAAACCTGTAAAATACTTCTGAAATATTTTTTAGCAAAACTATTCATCTTCTCAAAATGAAACTGAGATCTCAAGAAAAGGAGAAAATGGAAATAAAGACTAAGGAATTGGAAATGAATGAGTCGTGGACCACAGAGAAGTAAACGGCCAAGGGAGGAATTCCAAGACAGAGAAAAATGAGAAAGGTCAAAGTATAATGAGAAAAAGAGGAAATATATAATA